GTAGGAGAGAGACAGATGTCGAACGCTGCCGAACGCGGAGGCCGATTGTGCCTATTTGTCGCTCGTTCCGCGCTCTTGCTTGCACTTCAAGCCTTAAATAGAACGCCTCAGAGCGAGGTAACGCCGCATGAGTCATATTTTTTCGTGCGTGCAGCCGACTCCATCGAATTATAAGACGTTGCCACGTCAAAAAAACATGTCAAAATTGAGATTATTACAAGTTATCTAATAAATTCTGCAATTTCTACGGCAAATTCAACCATTTTTGAGTTTAGTTTTCTTCGTAGTGTTATTGCTGTTGCTTTCTAAATTTCGTCTATCTTTAACATTTTCTAATTGCTTCTAAAAATAATTCGTTAATTTTTAATATGTATAGCATGCATAATGACCTTTTCTTGAAGGACAAACCTACAACTTAGCGGTCTATAGATTCGATACAGCTACATACGTACTTACATGGTTAATTAGTTATTACTTTTTTGTGCAATCTTTGTTTAGAATTTGGGTCATACATCAAAAGATCTGGTGTATGAATGGACAGCTTCCTCATGGAAAAAGTTTGACCCTTATATCGTCAACGGGAATAACCGCAGTCAATTTTACGTCATACTGCTGTAGTAACTGTAAACGCGTTATTTACTCGGTGCTTTAATAAAAAAGCTTTCATCAAAGATAGACAATGAATGGTGAAAAATAATTGTATAAGAGGAGTAGAGGTAGATCTAGATTAGATTACTGCCATGGGATGTTCTAGTTTTAGGGAAATGCGAAGATTAGCTTAGGATAGGAAAGAGTGGATGTGCGTGTCCAACCTGTTGTAGGATTGACGATCTTATGATGAAAATCAATTGAAAGAAAACCACTTTGAACTACGATAGTTTCGGTCAATAGCCAATTTCCCAACGTATCACCTTCAGGCGAAGGGGGGGGGGGTTCCGCAAGATATTATAATTAAGTCAGATTCATTACTAATAATATTCTTAATCTTCTTTTGAGGTAAACATGTATGCATTTTTTTAAATCCTGTTCAGATTATATCAAACAAAAAAAGAACAATCTCCACCCCTGTCGTGAGCGACTTCTCCAACATGCTTTTTTGTAATAAAATATTGCAATATAATTATTAAAAATAACCAATTTTTTATCAGATCAAATGATAATAGTTTTTTTTTTATTGTGTTTATGTGTTAAATGTTAAGATCCATTCGGAGTAGGTATACGTATATTGTTTACGCTTTTAATTTGTTTGTTGTTTTGTAAACTAAATTCCAGAGTGTTTAGTACCGAGTTATTCGATGATTGAAAGCTTGGGCTTATGAGATAGTACTATCTCCTTCACGTGTGAAGAAATGACTTCCTAGCTAGATATATATGGAAATCCAAATTTATAGATAGGTCGTAGTGAGTCTTGGGTTCTGCTAAGACTATCATACACGTAATGACGTTGTTGATAGTGGAATATCCGTACAATGAATAAATACGAATGTTAGTTTGTTTGCTACAATTTCACATCTTAACTGTTTAACCGATCATTATGAAATTTTGTACATACATTCTGAGGGATACGGAAAAGAACATAGGGTACCATTTATCATCATTACAAGGTCGTCAGACTGGTTGGACACGTTTCTCCACTCTTTTATATCCTGAGGTAATCTTCGCATTTCCCTAAAACTGGAACAACCCATATCTTTAACTATTTGCGAACAGTAATCTACTATAGGTCTACCTCTACCCCTCCTAACTCCTGTTTCTGCCTCTAATATGTCTCTAACTAGCCCTTCATGCCTGAGAAGGTGTCCTACTAATCTATCTCGCCTATTTCTTATTGACTTCCATAGAGTCCACTGTTCTCCTATTCTTTCTAATACCTCTTCATTTCTAACCTTCTCTATCTACGGTATCCTCATCATTCGCCTGTAACACCACATTTCGAACGCTTCTATCCTTTTCTTTTACGCCGCGCTCACTGTCCATGTTTCGCACCCGTACAGCGTCGTGTTCTAGACATACACCTTTAACAATCTTTTTCGAATTTTTAAATTAACCGTTCGCGAGCATAGAAGTGACTTCTTTTTATTGAAGGCGACTCGATCCTGCGGTATCTTCTGCTTTATATCTCTACTACTCCTTCCGTCCTGACTTATCTGACTTCCTAGATACCTAAAATCAGCCACTTCTTTTAATCTTTCGCTCTTTTCCTGCTTTTTCTTCCCTCGCATACCAGTATTTTTGTTTTACTTATCCAGAAAAAAAGCACCGAAAAGAAAAATTAGTTTTATGTGGTCCTCGATGATATTTGACACGTATGTAGGACATCAGTTTTGTACACACATTATCAGGATACAATATAATTCGATTCCTAAGGGGATGAAAATTGGTGTCAAAGTTTTTACGGAACAATTATATTCGTTGTCAGACTTACTTGAGGGTTGCTCTTAATGCTCTTTGATATAATTCATAAAACGTCTATTTCGGAATTTTAAAGAATTTAACCTCTGAAGGGATGAACGGTAACAACGAAAATAATAACAGATCTAATTCAGAAACATTGCGTTGTGGACAAAGTACATACGTTCGGTTCAATCAATCAAAATATTTGACGGTTTTTCGTACGTAATGTTGTGGGTAAATAACAATAAACACATGTGTAGTTGTTATTGATTTGTCTAACGGTTTTAATTACTGCTACAAAAAACAATTGTTATCTATTCAACATATTTGTAATTTATTTATTATGCCCATGATTAATGGAATTGTTTTATTGTACATAATAGGAATTGGAATAGTTTTTTTTCGGTCACGTATTGATTGGAAAAAAAAGAACGTAGCTACAAATTGTTTATAATTATATACAACTGGCATGCTTAATTGAAAAAACTTATTGTTTTATCTTGTCCTTCACCTACATATATAATAATTGTAAATGTTTGTAGTGATGCGTGTGTGATAAAAACGATAATCCTTTGGGATTTCGTAAACCCCCGCATTTTCGTTATGTCTTTTAATTTCTTTATGGCAACGGTTCAAAGAGTGTTGAATTGAAAATTAGATAAAGGTCTAGATGATGGCCCCCACCCCCGAAGGGGGTGGTGGTGGTGGGGGGTCGAAAGAGGAGGTCTCCCCCACCACTCTACCATAAAAAGTTCGTGGCGGTCTCACTCCCATAAAAAGTTATGGGGGTTCAAAGTTAATAAATATGACAATTTTTATACACTTCTAGGCATGTAAATATTTATATACTTAGTCATTCTTAAACAATATTCAAAGGTAAAACTAATAAAAAATACATAAAAATATAGAGAAAGTTATGTAAAGCATTGTTTAAATATGTTTATCAATAGGGTAGGTTAGGTACACTTTTGGTGGACAAATTTTGGAACTTTCCAGCTAGGAAAACACAAAATGACACAAAACTCAAACCTTTAAAAACATTTTAAGCTCAGAATCAGTATACAAACCAACTTTACTTTTCAGCGGTCAAATACAGGCTTGATGGGGGGCACCTGTATCTAGATAAATGTCACTAGAAAACCCTCGTATAGTGCATGTTGGAAGCACGTTAGTCCTTTTGTGTTATCGGGTGCCCTTTAAGTCAAAACACATGAAAAATTTCTAGTGCTTCTGGAATAGGCTTATACTTAAAATTACAATCGTATTTTTTTGACTTTTAAATTGTATTTACAACGGATTTCCCTCAAAATTTAGTTCAGTCAAATTGTCCTTCTTGCGACTTGGGAAGAAAATTAAGATAAGTAGACCTACAAATTCGTTAAAGGAAACTAATAACTATATTATTAATGAAATTATGACATACAGATAAAATTAGGTCACATAATACTCTTTACGTTTCCAAATACTTGTTGTTGTTTTGTACTTCTGCGTATTTCGTATTAATTGTTTAGTATCTTTGTTTAGATACCTGCTAAATAAAAGATACGTGTGCTTTTCAACGTATTAAATTTATTTCCTTACAGTGAAATAGTTCTTGAATAGCTGGTTCTTAAAAATGTAGAAAACTTTTTGTTGCAGTTTGTATTGGACTGCTGTAATGAATGAAACATTGCAGCGGACTATAGACTCGGTTCTTACTATCAGTCAAGTCGCAATCAGATTAAAATATCGTTGGGGAGAAATACTGCACTTATTGTTAATTGAATGGTCCGTGACTTATAGTATGAACACTATCATGTGTAATGCACCTGTGCTATGACACTTTACTTAACTGTGACCTACGAACTAGTAACTGATTGTACTTATGAATTGTTCCTTAGTTTGTTTTTTGTAAGATGTTGCCCAACCAACACATTTTCTAGTGAAGAAATGTTTTCTAAAAGGTACTTTGGGGACGTTATTAATTTATTATTGTTTTTTCCCAAACTGATCGCCCTCCATTGAATGAATTAAATTGGGAGTTGGTGCTGAGATTATATGTTAATTTCTGATAGTCAGATAGTCATGTATTGCAAATAGTGCAATATTTAATAATAAGTTTTTCTTAAGAGTCAAATGTCATTGGGGGTGCAGAAGCTACAATTCGAAAATGAATCTATTTTTTGGGTTCTGCTTCCTTATCTTCCACGTGCTTATCGGTAATGAGGATTAACGATTTGTAATCGAAAAAAGTCTATAAAATGGCAAGGAATCAATCAGTCTTGCAGCAAATGTATAGTAGTCCAGTTTCTGACTTACGGTATAGTTCTGGAAGTACTTCCGAATGTTTTCAAGTGGGTATTAGTACGAAGAATCAAATTTAACAACAAAACTAGTAGTAGCTTCTTTAACTTTGTTGTTGTTAAATTTAGTTCCATTTATACTATATAGTTTTTACGTCAAACATTCTCAAACGCGTACATTTTTTTTGTTGTAGAGCATATTGTGTATTTCTTAAGTGCAGTTATATTTAGTGGAAGCTACGTTTCGGCTGAATGTAAGTATTTGTCTTTAATTACTGACAAAAAGAAGTTCAATACTTCTTCTTTAAAATTGCGCAGCATGCCCACTGCAACATACTCAGTCGTCCTGTACTGTTCTTCTTCCACATGAATCTGACTGCAAGAAATTTTATATGTGTTCAGAAGCGATAACGCTTGAATTAGGCTGTCCTATTGGCTATGCGTTCGATTTAAAATATCGCGTGTGTCTACCGTTTGTTGGTGAATGTGAGCCAACTACTCCAGATGATGAAGAAGATAATTCGCAATCAGAAGGAGAAGAAACTGATGAGGATGAAAGTAGTATCGACGACGACGGTCACGATGATTCTGATAATGACGACGATGATGGTAACAGTGAAGATGACGAACATGATAGTGATGATGGTAGCAATGATAATGATGAAGATGACAATCATAGTGGTGAAGATGATAGTGAAGATGATGAAGTAGCAGAAACAACTTCAGGTGTTGAACCTACAACTGAAGCAGCTACCACAACATCAGCTCCAACAACAGTAACAGGAGAAGAAGTAACTGAGAAAGATGAAGACCATGATGATGATGATCACAAAGAAACAACGGTAGGTTCTTTCCCTACAACTGAAGCAACTACCACAACATCGGTACCAACAACAGTAATAGGAGAAGAAATAACTGAGAAAGATGAAGATCATGATGATGATCACAAAGAAACAACAGTAGGTTCTTTCCCTACAACTGTAGCAGCTACTACAACTGCGGTACCAACAACGGTGGCAGAAGAAGGAACAACTGAGGAAGATGAAGACTATGATGATGATGATGATGATGAAACAACAATAGATTTGTTGCCTACAACTGAAGCAGCTACCACAACTGTAGCACCAACAACGGTAGGAGAAGAGGAAACAACAGAGGATGATGATGACGAAGGAACAACTATAGGAACATTACCCACAACTGAATCTACAACAACTAAAGCACCTGTTACAACAACTGAGGCGCCAGCTACAACAACTGAAGCTCCTGCCACAACAACGGAAAAACCAGCTACAACAACCGATGTACATTCAACAACTACTGAAACGTCGGATACAACAATTGAAGAACCAGCTCCAACAACTGAAGAGTCAGCATCAACTACTGAAAAACCAGCTACAACAATTGAAGAACCAGCTTCAACAACCCAAGAACCAGCTGTAACAACAGAAGAACCAGTTGCAACAACTAAAGAACCAACTGTAACAACAGAAGAACCAGCTACAACAATTAAAGAACCCTTACCTACAACTGAAGCAGTAGCTACAACTACTGAATCATCAGCTGCAACAACTGAGGCATCTTCTACAACAACGGAAAAACCAGCTACAACAACCGATGTACATTCAACAACTACTGAAACGTCGGATACAACAATTGAAGAACCAGCTCCAACAACTGAAGAATCAGCATCAACTACTGAAAAACCAGCTACAACGATTGAAGAACCAGCTTCAACAACCCAAGGACCAGCTGTAACAACAGAAGAACCAGTTGCAACAACTAAAGAACCAGCTGCAACAACAGAAGAACCAGCTACAACAATTAAAGAACCGTTGCCTACAACTGAAGCAGTAGCTACAACTACTGAATCATCAGCTGCAACAACTGAAGCACTTACTACAACAACTGAAACACCGGCTACAACAACTGAAAAGCCTTCTCCTGTACCGGGTACGGTATTTATATTTAAGATTTATCGTCCAGTTGTATAACATGTTGAAAATCGTTTTAAGGTTGCCCTATAGGCCGTATTGCATTGATACCCCATGAGTCCGATTGTAGTAAATACTATATATGCTTATTCGGATTGAAAATTTTGACAAGTTGCTTTAATGGTTTGTATTTCAATCCAGATCTGAATTTCTGTGATTTTCCTGCTAATGTACCTTCATGTTCGCCCCCGTCAAAACTAACCACGACCAGTATTCGTAAGTTTTAACTGAAAATGCATACAAAACTAAAAGCAACAAAATCTTCGAAATCTGTTTTGATTTGATGCTTTTTACAGAGGTTCCGGAAACGACCACTACCCTCGCCCCTTATCCAACAGGTACCATAAAAAAAATGTAGACAGAAGTGCTAAAAGTTGATTTAAAATTATTTTTTAGAGTGTCCAGCCGTCGACCCCATACATTATATAGTTTATCTTCCTCATGAGTCGGATTGCTCTTGTTATTATATGTGTTCACACGGAGTTGCCCACTTAATGGTCTGCCCTGCTGGGTTATATTTTAATACTAAGTTGGACACTTGCGACTGGCCAAAAAATGTTAACTGTTACAAAAGAAAACTATAATTAACAATATATATATATATACACAATAGTCACAGTTATAGTGGAAGGGGGAATTATATTGGGGGTGTACAAATATTTAGTTATGTTCTTGTCTTTTTCTTGTATATTTATTACTGACGATTGATTATTGATTAATACAGTATTTTTTTGAAAAAAGGAACATTACTGAACATATATAGGTATCAAAAGAAATAAACTTGTCCAATGCAACGTTTCGAATCTACTTCCTCCTGAGTTAATTGATCTCAAATAGTCGATAATTTTACTTGAAATAATGTTATATATCTTGAAGTTCAACTTTCAACTTAAAAAATTATGGTTACATCCAATACACAAACCAGCTTGACTCTTTAACGGCGGATGCGTCAATTTGTGTTGATTTGTGTCAACAAGCGCTTGGTGGGAAGCACCTGTATCTAAATAAATGTAATTGGAAAACTCTTAATGCAGTATAGAGTGCATGGTAAGGTTCTTTTATATTATAGGGTGCCCTATAATTCAAAATACATGAAAAATTTCTAGTGCTTCTAAGTTGAACCTAAATTTAGTTCACCCAAATTGTTCTTCTTGCTACTTGAGAAGAAAATTAAACTAGTAATGAAGCTAGTACGTATTAGAAGTCACAAAATTAGTTCAGGCAATGATTAATTGTTTTGTATCTTTGACTAGATACGTCCGAGAAATGAATGATACGTGTAATTTTCAACGGATTAAGTTTATTTTAATATCGGGAAATAGTTTTTGAATAGTTGGTTCCTAAAAGTGTACAAAACTTTTTCGTTGCAGTTTGTATTGGACTACTGTAATGAATAAGATATTGCAGCGGACTTTAGACTCGGTTCATACTATCAGTCAAGTCGCTATCAGATTAAAATATCGTTGGGGAGAAATACTGCACTTATTGACTCGACTGTGACTTATAGTACAAATGTTGCCATGCTATAACTTGTTCAATACATTTTTCAGTGAAGGAATGTTCACTAAAAGTTACTTTGACGAGGTTATTACTTTATTATTGATTTTCTCAAACTGATCGCACTTCGCAGAATGATTTAAATTGAGCGACGGTAATGAGATTAGTTAAGTTAATTCCTGATAGTGCATGTTTTACAATAATGGAATAATTCGAATATGAATTTATATTTTTGGATTTCACTTTCTTATCTGTCACCCTTTTATCAATAATAGGGATTAACGATTTGTAATCGAAGAAAATTATATAAAACGGCAAGGAATCTATCAGTTTTGCAGCAAATGTATAGTAGTCCAGTTTCTGACTTTACGGTATAGTTCTGGAAGTACTTAAAAATGTTTTCAAGTGGGTATTACAAACAATAAGTACGTGGAATCAAATTTAACAATCAAAAGTAGTTTCTTCTTTGTTATTAGATTTGATTCCATTTATACAAATATCGTGTTTACGTCAAATATTCAAACGCGTACCTATTTTATTTTTTGTTGTAGAGTACATTGTGTTTTTCTTAAGTGCAGTTGTATTTGGTGGTGCAAGATATGTTTCGGCTGAATGTAAGTATTTACGTCTTTGGTAACTATAAAAGGTGGTGCAGCACTTTTTGTTTAAAATCATGTAGCATGTCCATCGCAAGACACGGAGTCGTCGCGTAGGGTCCTTCTTCCACATGAATCTGACTGCAGGAAATTTTATATGTGCTCAAAAGGGGACAAACTTGAATTAAACTGTCCTGAAGATTATGCATTCGATTTAAAATATCGGACGTGTCTACCGCTCGCTGGTGAATGTAATCTCTCTAGTTCAGATGACGATGAGAGTAATTCGTTATCGGAAGGAGAAGCAACCGACGAGAAACAAGATAGCATTGACAACGACGACGGTGACGAGGACGATGCTGATGATGACGAAGATGATGATAACAGTGAAGATGATGATGATGATGGTAGCAATGATAATGATGAAGATGACAGTCATAGTGATGAAGATGATAAAGAAGCAAAAACAACTTCAGGTGTTAAACCAACAACTGAAGCAGCTATCACAACTGAGAAAGCAACAACAGTAGAAGCAGAAGTAGAAACAGTTGAAGAGGATGAAGACGATGATGAAGAAACAACGATAGAAGTTTTGTCTACAACTGAAGCAGCTACTACAACTACAGCACCAACAACAGTAGGAGAAAAAGAGGCAACTGAAGAAGAAGACTATGATGATGATGATGAAGAAACAACAATAGACTTATTGCCTACAACCGAAGCAGCTACCACAACTGCAGCACCAACAACAGTAGGCGAAGAAGAATCAACAGAGGAAGATGAAGACGATGATGAAGAAACAACGATAGAAGTTTCGCCTACAACTGAAGCACCTACCACAACTACAGCACCAACAACAGTTGCAGATGAAGAAACAACAGAAGAAGACGAAGATGACGATGACGACGAAGAAACAACAATTGAAACCTTGCCCACAACTGAAACACCAGTTGCAACAACTGAAGCTATAATAACTAAGGCGCCTGCTACAACAACTGAAGAACCTTTGTCCACAACTGAAGTAGTAGGTGCAACGGAAGCCCCGGTCACAACAACTGAATCTACAGCAACTGAGTCACCTGTTACAACAACTGAAGTACCAGCCACAACAACTGAATCTACAGCAACTGAGTCACCTGTTACAACAACTGAAGTACCAGCTACAACAACTGAATCTACAGCAACTGAGGCACCTGTTACAACAACTGAAGCACCAGCCACAACAACTGAAGAACCTTCACCTATAGGGGGTAGGATATATATGTTCGACATTAGTCGTTCAATCATGTAACGACACATTGAAAATCATTTTAAGGTTGTCCTGGTAACGAAAGTGCACTGTTGCCCCATGAGTCGGATTGTAGTAAATTTTACATCTGCTCAAACGGAGTTGCAGTTTCGACAGATTGTCCTGGCGGTTTGTATTTCAATCCCGAAGTGAATGTTTGCGATTGGCCTGGTAATGTACCTTCATGTTCGGCAAAGTCGGAACCGCCCGCGAGCAGTACTCGTAAGTACTAAAAGCAATAGAAATTTCGAGCTCTCTGTTTTGACTTGATGCATTTGCAGAGGCCCCAGAAGTTCCCTCTACCGAGGCTCCCTCTCCAACAGGTATTACAAAAAATACATACATTTGCAGACAGGGGCGCTAAAAGCAGATTATAAATTATTTCTTAGAATGCCCAGCGGTCGACCCCCTGGATCATGTAGTTTTTCTTCCTCACAAGTCGGATTGCTCTCTATTTTACATGTGTTCAAACGGAATTCCGTATTTAATGGTCTGCCCTGCTGGGTTATATTTTAATACAAAATTGGACGTATGCGACTGGCCGGAAAACGTTGAGTGTGGAACAACCGAAACACCTGGTGCTACAACAACGGAGACACCCGTCAAACCACCTGCAACCGAAGCGCCTGCCACAACAACCGAAGCAACTGCTACAACAACTAAAGGACCCAGAACAACCGAAGAACCTTCCCCTGAAACGGGTACGGGTATTTATGATCGAAATTTGTCGTCCAGTCATATAATGACATGCTGAAAATTGTTTTAAGATTGTCCTGTGGACCGTTTTGTATTGCTACCCCATGAGTCGGATTGTAGCAAATTTTATATCTGCTCAAACGGAGTTCCTGTTTTGACAAATTGCTCTAGTGGTTTGTATTTCAATCCGGATTTGAATGTCTGTGATTGGCCTGGTAATGTACCTTCATGTTCGTCCATTTCGACACCAACTGTTACTAGCACCCGTAAGTTGTAATTGAAAATACATACAAGACTAAAAGCAACAAAATCTTCGAAATCTGTTTTGATTTAATACTTTTTACAGTGGTTCCGGAAACATCCACTACCCTCGCCCCTTCTCCAACAGGTATCATAAAAACATTGTAGACCAGAGGTGCTAAAAGTTGATTTAAAATAATTTTTTAGAATGTCCAGCCGTTGATCCCATGGATTATACAGTTTTTCTTCCTCACGAGTCGGATTGCTCTAGTTATTATATGTGTTCAAACGGGGTTGCCCACTTAATGGTCTGTCCAGATGGATTACAATTTAATACCGAATTGGACGTTTGCGACTGGTCAGAGAATGTTAATTGTTAACAAAAGAAAACTATGATTAACAATATATATATGTATATATGCAATATTAACAATTATAGTGGAAGGGGAGAATTTAAATTGGGGGTGTGGAAATATTTAACGTTCTAGTCTTTTTCTGTTCTTTTTTTTTTGTTACTGACGATTGATTATTTGGTGATAATGCAATATTTTTTTAATAAATGGAACGTTACTGAACTTATTTCCTTTCGAAAGTGCAAATCCACTTTCTATAGGGTTGTTTGGAAAGTCATTTCGTTTTTTTTTGTGGAAATGAAAGACAGTTTTCGTATAATAAACAAATACTTTATTAAATTATATATTGACCGTTCTGGTCCAACACCTTTTGCCATCTTTCTGGTAGTAGCATAATTCCACGCTCATAAAATTTTTGGTCTTTGCTGGCAAAAAACT